AATGATTTATCTCAAGATCTGAATGGGAATATTTTAGGTTATTTTATTTTTACAGTTTGAACTTATATTTTTTTTTTATCATTTACTTTTATTACAACTTCTGGCTTGGGGAAATTTGGGCAACTTTTCTCACACTCGCCCGTTGAGTTTCATTAATTTATTTCAAAGTGGCATAACAAGACAAGCGTTGCGAATCGAAAATTTTTGCTGCGCACGACTCCAGCTCGGACACTGACTGAGCATGATCTGATCTATTTCTGAACCGTCCAGCGGTATGTTTATATGATAATTCGGAGCCATACATTCCTCGACCCACTACCAGCAAGCGCAGTCCATAGAACACGCCGCTAGAGATAGATAGGCCTGTGTGGCTGGCTGCGTGATGTCTGCGATATAAATAGAGCAGTCAGCTGTGTAAATGCGGGGATCTTTCGAGGGAGGACAGAGCGAGGCGAGGGTGGCATGACGGCCAAAACAGTCTGGGCCCGCGTGCCGACACGGCCGCTCTATCACACACACACCGCTCTCTCGCCTTTCCAACTACATAACACTTCTTCTTCGGCAAGCCAGTGACAAAACTGACCAGTCAGCAAAGGCGCCGACGCTTGGCGCCGCGTGCGGCCCACGTGGCTCTGTTTTGGTACGTCCGATATATTGTTGTCGTTATGTCGTGCCCACCCCCTCTCCACCCTACTGGCAAGCTTTAATGCAATTTAATCCTGAAATTTAAAACAAAAGAAACTTTCCGATTAATTTTTGCAAAATTTTTATTTGCAAAACAAGCTAATAATAATATTTTGGAGTGCACACATGGAAAAAGTAATTAATTGTTTATTGTTTACTTTTCAAATGGTCTAAAAATAATTGATTAAAAATAACACTTCCAATTTTTTATTATTTTACTTCTTTGGAATGGAAAAAAACTTCATATTTTAGCCAGTTGTAATCCATAGTGCAATTGTCAAAAAAATTGATAAGAGCCAAGGCCACTTTTTAAAACCTTTTCTTGCTTATGTACTTTTCACAAAGCTTTCTTCGTGAAAGGTTTTTTGATGACTCGATTTGCATTTAAATATGCGTGATCAATTCGCCTCGCCTTGCAAACGAAAGTCACTGGACAATTTTCGCGATTGATTTAAAGGACACGAGCAAAAAGTGCCGGGCCATTTACACAAATCCCGCCTTTTGTGCGTGGGCACGGCCTAGTCATTAAAATCAACTTAATAAGGCGTGTTTTCGTGTGAAATTTCCACATCGCCACTCGGCCGCCGTATAAATGTAATGATAAGGGATCTTTATAATTGCCGTCGGATAAAACTGCTTTTTGTTTGACTAATTAAATTTTATTGCCTGTCTTCTATTGGGTCCCTCTCGCGCGCTCGATTTCTCTCGTTTAATTAATCAAGCCACGTATATACATTCGAATGTCTGTGTACATCACACAGGTACAGAAATAAAAACCGACGCGCGAGGAGGCAAGTTAATGCGGCCCGATTGTAAAACCGATGATTGCTCACTTATTCTTTCTTCGAACGTGAATCACACGGATTATTGCCGGACCTCGTTTCGACTCGCTTTTGTGTGGGTTTTGGAGATAAATTCCGACGGGCATTAACAGGAATAATTGTATAAAGTACGACTTGTTTTAATTTTACGGCGCAGGCAACGACGCAGACCTTCAGTTTTAATTATGGCTGAAATAAAAAAAGTGGAAAGCTTTTAAGAGGCTTTAAAACTTGATGTGCTGAAATAATTTCTGCCCTTCAAATCCATCCTTAATTGGAATTTTAATTCGTCTGCAAGTCTACTTAAAAGCGTACACATAAATAACTTAGATAAAAATGTGATCACCAATAAGTAAAAAAATGAAATTGACGATGACCAACAAGAAATTGATGAAATATTTAAATTACAAAGTGATCTCAAAAGTCTGCCACCAAGGGTTTAAGAAATTAAATTGTTCTGTCTAAAAATATTTTAATTATAAAAAATTCTAAATATAATTAATAAAAAAAAAATGTTGAATTCTCTTTCAACAGACGTCTCCAAAGATTTTTATTACTCGTTCTACACAATTGTACATTTAAGAAAAAAAATGATCAGATTATTAAGAATTAATTAGAAATTTTACTAGAAAGTCCGAATAAGTGAAGTATTTTTTTCTAGCTTGTTTACCCTATATGCGCCCCTGCCTCTCGGAAAAAAGCATCCCGCAGCACACACTTGCGCCGCGGGTTGCATAGCCTTCAATCTGATGAGAGGCGCTGCTGCATCTCGGATTGGAAATTCTCTCTCTCTCAAAAGCAAACAAACACAATCGTCTTGAAAGCCACTAAACTGCAAATGCACTCTTTTAACGGCAATAAAACTCAGTGCAGTTGCTCGTGGACTAAAACGGCCATATTGCACTTAAAAGCAGCAGCTCGACGACGACGGTATGTAAAATATATTTAATGCCGTCCCCGTGCGCGGCAGTGGGCGTCGGCCGAACAATCGCAATCTCGTCGGCTATCGGGTGGTTTGTTTTGCGCTGCACGCGAATAAATCTGAAGGAAATAAATAAATGCAGCCGTGCGGTGAAACGTGATTGTTTTGCGAGTGCGATTCCTAATTACCGGTACACACCGATAAATTATGGCTTTAAAGTGGTGTCCCTCCACCCACGCCGCGTGCAGAATGTCCCTTGTTTTCATTCAGTTTACCTCTCTCGGCTTCGGAGACAATATAAAAGGGATATTTGTTGCCTCAGATATCGAGCCGGGGCTCCTCGCGAAACGGATCTTTTCTCTCCAGCAATTTGCAAAACGAAAAGGCGGCGGAGACTTATCGAGTCGCGGGAGAAATGATCAATCAGGGTGATGAATGTGTTCGCTCCGGTCATTGTTCTCGAAACCAACACATTCATCCCAGAGTCCTTCTTTTTTCAATTAAAATGATTATAATTCAATCTTGATTCGCGCTCTCGGGGCCAATTTGTTCGTTTCGCCTCTTTCCAATTAATTAGCATATAATCAAAGCGACAAATTTAAATCTTTCTTGAGGTTTCAAGAGGGAGTCGACCGACCCAGTACGCGGAAGGAACGTACGTGGGACCGGCAAATTTACAAGCACTCGCAGAAACAGGCCGGCCGAATAAATGTACGCGCGTGTAGATTTTTATTCTTGTTTTTATGGGGGATAGCCAAGAAAGAAAGAGAGAGCCTGGACCGTTCGCAGCGATTAAAATCACGAATATGTCACGATTCGCTAAGCAGACGCATTTGTTTCAAGCCGGCCCTGTGCGGAGCTGATATAGCACGCCGAGTATATTTAGAGGTATATATGTGTGAAATAAAGCACTACATGCGAAATTGAGGCTACGTAACTTAAAACACTGCGGCCGTTTTATTGGCAAACACTGAATTGACTTCAGCACTAAATAAAATTGATTGAAAGAGTTTACATGTTTCTCAAAAATAATATTATTGATTTTAATCTTTTACGCAAGCATTTAATATTCGTATAATTATTTTGTTTAAGTTGTAAAGAAAAATTATTATATAATAAAATATTATTTTTTTCTTAATTTATTTAATATTTGTTTTTAACAATGTAAGTATAATCTACTTGTGGTTAAAAATCTTTTAAACAAAATAATTTTAAAGGTTACAATTCCATGCAAATTAACCAAAGTTTAATAAATCATTTTTAATAATCATTTATTGAACATAATATTATGTCGTTTATTTCATGACCACCGATTGATTTAATGATTTTGAATTTGATAAGAAACAATAAGAAATATAATACATTTATTATGACTGACATTTAGTTTTGTCCCATTTACAATTAGTGATGTTTGGTTTATTTGCTATTATTATGCTCGGTAAAGAAGAAAAAACCAATCTTGGTCTCATAATATTTGAGGAAATTTCACGGTTCACTTAAAGGACGGTAATTAACCTGGGCAGCCGTCGTCGTGACCTTATCGCACCCAATCATGTAAAACTCCCACCGGACGCAATCGTGGGAACAAAATCGGCCCGACTGTGAACCAATGAACGCATTCTGTTTCTTTCTTTCTTTATTATTATTTTTTTAATGCAAAGTCGCACCCTCGAGAGATAATTTCATTTTGTAACTGGGACGTGCTGCACCGACAATAAAACACGTGAAAACAAGCAGCCGAGGAGGAGGAGGAGGAGTGTCGCGTCCTCGAGATTTCTGCCCCGACGCTGTGAATAATGATGCAGACTTGATAAAACACACACTTGCGCGCAGATAAAGCGGCAGCCAGGCCTGCTGGAAATACCTGACAGTAATGGCAACGAGCTAATTTAACTACTTTACAAGAAAATGCGCCGATTCCCGGAAAGTGCATCTCGCGATGCTTAACTTTTTTATTGAGGCCCGCGTGCTGTCTGCGCATTTTAATTAAACGCGCCACAAGCCCTTTTTTCTGTGTGAGACCGACAGTTTTTGGCCGCTTTCTGTATCGCACTTGGAGATCTGACTATGAGTAAGCAAGGTGCCTCGCTGATGCTCGTTTTCCCATAGACCGAAACGGTAGCCAAGAAACCAAAAGGCATCAAAAATGATATCATGTTTGATTTGGTCTCTCCGCAAATTTAAACTATAAATAATTTATTTCAACAAAAACATTCACTCCTGATGTTCGGCTCATGAATGAATATTTAATGTTCCAGATTAGCAAAATATTATCATGTATTCAGTAATAAAAATTACTTTTTTGCTAAAAATGAACTATAAATCAATTTGTTTTATGAAACACAGTGCTTGGAATTAATTTTAAACTGTTCCGAATGGTTCAAAATGGAAATTTTTTTCTTGTGCCAGTATCAATCATTATTATTTTAGAATAATCATCCTTTTATCCCAATAAAACTGTGTAATTATTAACTTTGTAGTAAATTCTTGGATCTTTTTTATTAAAATTTATTTTTTTATTCAATAATATTTTCAGGATTTATTTTCAATATTTTGTGTCAATTTTTTTCTAGATTGCTGACAAGATGCCCGTAGATTTTCTCGCCTTCCACGTGCCTTCTACTAACAAATTGGTGAGTACAATCCTCATTTTTTTTCCCAATATTCTTTGCGAAATTTTTTAATTAACTTTCGGGCGGTCACCCAACTGACACAAGTAGATTCCACGGTTCCAGTGTTGTTTTCGGTGATTAATTAAAGACTGCATTCGAGATAAGCACGGGGCGGCTTCGTGCTATCTCCTTGCGCTTTTCTTTTTGCCGCGCTCCACTTTTAATGGCCCTCGTCGCTTCCTTCCTTGCCTCAGCCGAGCGAGATACACCTAGCCTGCGATGGCCCTCTACTATGGATTTCCTTCTTAATCCGTCGTAAATTTTGTTCTTTGCGCGTCGGTGGTGCTGTGCGAGACCATGTCAACGGAGTAATTAAACTGCACACAGCACCCAAAGTCAAACGCCGTCGGCCGGCGTCCCCAAGAGAGGAAAAACAACAAACGTTCCGGTCGCCGCACGTTGGCAAATTAATCACACCGCGTCCAATCAATTTCGTCCAGCGAAAAGGAACCCTCATTTAGGCTGGACCTTACATAAATTCAATGAACAAATCAATAAACTGACTAAAAATTAAATAACCTCGGAATATTAAAAAAAAAATACAAATTAAAAAAATAGCCTGAAATTTGAAATTAACAGATAAAATAAAAATATTATAAGAGAATCATCTAAATTACGCAAAAATATGGGGATAAAATTAAACAAATCATGAAGCAAATTGAAATTCTTGGATTTCTTAAAATTATAAAAAAAAAAACTAATCCTTCGTTCAAATGCAGCTAAATTAAAATTGCATGAATTCTAGTTTCATTAGTGTTTGAAAGAAGATTTTTTCATTACATAATATTTTAATGCAGAGACATTCTTTTTTTACGACATTTTTTCTGTAGCTCATTAGCTGATTTAATTTCACGCTGCGGACATTCCGCTGCTGTTTGGGCGCAGCAGTGTTTATGAAAGCCAAAAGAAAGCAGTGTGCGAACCATAAAAACGCCGGCGCCGAGCAGAATTAAACTTTTGCATTTTGCCCCGCATTGTCATAAAGCGTCAGCAGCCCTGCTTGCTCTCTTGCTCGCCACCGCTTTAATTAAACATGTTGGGCACGAAGAAGAAGAAGAGCGGCCGCAAGATAAGAAAAGAAAAGGGAGGAGCTCTGCGCTTTTTTTTTGTAAAATATGTTGGTTAATTTTTATTGTTGCCTTTCCTCCTCCACTCTCTTTTGCTTGCTTGAATGTGTGCAGAAGAAGAAGAAGGAGCAGGCAAGGGGTGGGCCGCAGCGAGGGTGTAATCTTGGTGGTAATGTAATAAGATAAGGGTACACACACATAGACACAATGCTGGATATTAAAACGGGGAAGTAGGGGAAAAAGCGAGAAGAAGCAGAGCGTCCAAGAAGACGGCGGGCGAGAAAAGCAATCAGGGAGATTTCTCATTAGTGGCTTACCTCATAAGACGACGATGAACGCACGCACAGACACACAGCGGGCTATATTTTACGCCACCGCACCACCACCACCACCACCATGGACAGGGTGACGTCACGCCCGCCGGGGCCCTTTTTAATGCTCGGCAAAAAATTATCGCCGCTAAATTAGTGCGGGAGGTGATTGATTTTATCGCGCGCACCAACGCCCGCGTTCATTCCGCCGCTTCTTTTCACCGCAAAACTCTTTCAAGAGCAGGCTTATTCCCTTAAAAAAAAACGCCAAAATCGGTGTTATTTTTTATGTTCTGAATTTTTCTATTCAGTTCATTAAAATGTCTATAACAAAAAATAATATAGAATTGATTTTGGAGTAAATTATTTCCTATTTAAATATTTTTTATCTAATTTCTATCTTATCTTTTTTACGTTTAAATTTTTCTTCCAGGAACGTAAAATTCTAAAAATTATGTTTACCAAGCATGCCATTTACATATTTGATAAAAGATGGTAAACTGTATATAGTGTTTTAGAGCGCCTATTAAGAACTTAAAAAAGTAGGCACCTAAGTTATTGTATGTCTAAAAATTTTGCCTACTTAACATTTTTTGAACAAATGACAAAGAAAAATAATTGTGTCTATACGCTTTCATAATTTTTACAAACAATTTTGTTTTTAAGAAATTTTTAGCAATGTCCTATTTTTGCTTTGACAAAAATGCTGCCTTCAAATTCATTTTACTACTTTACAAAATGTTTTAAGCGTTTCACGTAATGCACATAAAAATTCTTCTCGATTCCTTCATCAAATTACGCTTAGGACCTGGCAAAAAGTATCCCATTTCCTCCGTTTTCACGAGTAAAAACATTAAAAAAACGACGTCAGTTGATTTTAATAACACTTAATTAGGCAACCGCAGTGGAGGTAATTAAATCGAGCCGTGGCCTCCCGCTGGTGGCGAATTAGAAATTAATTTCACCGGCGCAGCAAAGCAACTCATTAGGCGGCCGTTTTAATTACCGTCTGATTTAATAATCCGTAATTAGCTGCTCTCTCATGCACCATGCCTCAATTTACGACTGGAAAAAGTACATAAAAAAATTAAAAACACGAGGCAGCGACCACCGAGCGGGATTTCATTAAAAAATCATCATCCGCAGCCGCGAGTTACGACCGGGCTAATATTTTTTGTAATGCGGCAAGCATCAGGTTAATTACTTCAATTAGCGGTCTTCGCAATTAAAAATAAGCCAGCCAGAGTCAGAGGAGCTTGATGAGCCTGCACTTCTCTCTCGGCTCGTAAAGATAAAGAAGGAAAAGTTTTAATGGACACTGGAATATGGGCAGCGGCGGGCAAACAAAATTAGGGCCTGCGTTTTAAGTATTGGTCGGGCGAGGGAGAAAATGAGAGAGACAAACACAAGGGTTATCTTTGATGAAGATGACCGGCAACGCTTTAATGAGTCCGACTGCCAAACTTTTCCCCTTCTTCTTTCGCTAGCTGTTTTTCCCTTAAGAGTTGGCGTCACTTCCAGCGGGGTGAGTCAGACACAAGAAAGAATTTCCAAACTTTGGCCCCTTGAACGCCCATGTGTGCAAATCCGTGATTTTCAATTTATATTTTCTGATAAAATGTATAGTTTCTTTGTAGAAGGAAAAAGAGACTGACAAGGGTATGAAAGGAAACGGACTTTTTGCCACCAGACTTTGCGTAATTGCGAGAGTAGAGGTGAAATTTTTTGCTCGGCCAGCTACAAAACGCCGTTTCTAAAAAAATGGATATTATAAATATACAAGTCGGAGGGAACTTGTGCCTGGATCCATTTTATTTATTATTATTGCCGAGAAGCAAGAAAGAGAAATAAAGAAAGAATGGAAAAGGCAGTTCATTTTCATTCCACCTGATATTATTAATCAATACACACATAACAACAACGGCAAAGCCGCCGCGGCACCGAAATGATGGAGAAAAAAATTAAAATAAGAATCGCCTTGTGCTTGACGCCGGAAAACAGACACACAATGTGTTGAAGGCGCTTACATGCTAAAAACTGCTAATCAATATACGAAACGATTATTTATTCTTTATCGCATTATAATAACCCCGGGCTTTTTATTATCACGCCAGAATAAAAGAGAATGGAAAGAAAAACAACTCGAAAAGCTGAAAACGTGTCGCTCATTTATCAAACACGGGTCGAGGAGTGCCTCTAAAAAGTGGAGAAAACACCAGCACCCCAGTTTGTATTATTTTTTACACGCCAGAGGGCTATCAAACATAAGCTTTTCACTTTCATATAGCATTATATTGATTAAGAAAAAGAGTAAGAAATGCCAGAGTAGGTTAGATTTATTTTCTACAATGTTTTATTAATTTTGAACCATCTGCAAAAACAGTGAAAAAGGAAAAACTGTGTATAACAATTTATAGGAAAGAAAATTTTCCAGTCTAATTAATTAATTAATAATTTTGTAACTTCATTCATTAAAAAAATATTTATCTACAAAAGTAATTGTATGATTATTTATTTGATAATTTATTTAAAATTGAAAAACAACAAAGGAATTAATTTTATTCTTGCAATTGTCAGGTAATACTAAAGTAACCATCTTATTTCGATTTTTTTCCTGATCTGTAATTCCTTCTGTTTTGTTCTAAACAAAAAGAAAAAAAAATCTCACTGACATGAAAGTTTCCACACAGTGAGTGCAATCACAATTATTTCTCCTCTTTTCTATTATGAATAGGCTAAACGGGTCAAAAAGCAACAAAATGAGCCAATTACTCAAGCAACGGATTGTTTTCAGCGAACAAATTAGGTAAACGGCCTGTTTTGAATAGCCCCGACGCTACTCTTTTCACTCACTCTCGGGCACTTTACGCCCATGGTACACATTTATGCTGGCCGGCGCACTTAATCATCCATTGTTATCAGAAGTAATTTTCGTGAAAAATAATAAGAAAACGCGCCACGCAGCGAGCACAGCAGTCTCTTTTTTTCTAGCGCATTGTGTATTATATACGCCGAGGCAATTTGTATTAATTTATTAAGAAACAAACGAGCTCAGGGGGCTGCACGTGAAATATTCGCGGCGTAATGAGCGCCCGCCGCCGGCGAATGCCCGAAAGCACGGAATGAATAAAAAATCCGCTTTATGGCTGTTTGTTGTTGTGTGTGAATTTATTTTGCGCGCAGCTGATACACGTCCAGCAGCTTTCGAGTGGAAAAGCACCCACTTTGTCGGTGAAAAGGAAGAAAAGAAACCACCCGGTGATATGGGCCATTTTTTATACCGCGCTCGTCGGAGGAAATGCCATCGACTGACTGTCGCTCCCCCGCACACTGAATTACGCACGTAATTAATTAGCCTAGCCCAGCACTTTTGTCGTCCATACTGGAGAAGGACACGGCATTGTCAAGAACTAATATGAAATTCAAGACGTTTTGACTTAAATTGAAAATTATCTATTACAGGTTAAATTTAGAATTGTATTTGTTTTTAAAAATTTGGTATAAAATGATTGACAACTGAATTTTCTGAAAATATTAATATATTTAATGAGAATTTTTAAATTTTTAACTTGTATTAAAATAA